TTGTGTCGAGGGGCGGCAGCGCGCCGCTCCTCACTCCTCCTCGTTTCCCCCGACGACTGCTCCCTTGCAGACGCTCCACATGGACGTGTGGGGCCCAGCCCGCGTCCGTGGACAGGGTCAGGAGAGGTACTTCCTGATCGTTGTTGACGACTACTCGCGCTACACCACGGTCTTCCCCTTGCGCACCAAGGGTGAGGTCCCTGATGTTTTGATCCCTTGGATCCGCGCTTCTCGTCTCCAGCTCAGCGAGCGGTTCCACTCAGACTTTCCTGTCTTGCGTCTGCACTCTGACAGAGGTGGTGAGTTCTCCTCCGACCTCTCGAGATCCCCAGACCCAAAAACGTGACGCATCGCCAACCTGTCCCGTCCAACGCAGTGTCGGTGAAGTCTCCGGAATGGAGACACGTGCCCAGAGGTTGAGCTGATGCGCTGCGTATCGGACCGCAAACGGCCACAGAAAGTGGGGGGCAGCCGCATGGATCAAGGAGGTACGAGCGACCTCCATGACCAGGCCAATGCGGCGCTCAGCAACCCCATTCTGCTGTGGAGAGGCCGGAAGCGTGAACGACTGCTCAATGCCCTGCCCCTGACAGTAGGCCCTCAAGAGGTCGGAGGAAAACTCCCCACCTCTGTCAGAGTGCAGACGCAGGACAGGAAAGTCCGAGTGGAACCTCTCGCTGAGCTGGAGACGGGCAGCGCGGATCCAAGGGATCAAAACATCAGGGACTTCACCCTTGGTGCGCAAGGGGAAGACCGTGGTGTAGCGCGAGTAGTCGTCAACAACTATCAAGAAGTACCTCTCGTGACCCTGTCCACGGACGCGGGCTGGGCCCCACACGTCCATGTGGAGCGTCTGCAGGGGAGCAGTCGTCGGGGGAAAGGAGGAGGAGTGAGGAGCGGCGCGCTGCCGCCCCTCGACACAGGGAAGACAGGGGGGAGCAGGCGAGGGTGGGAGGGGAGGGAGAACCCTGGGAAGACCAGAGACAAGGTACCGGGAGTGCATGCGACGAAGGCGCTGCACTGACGGGTGACCCAGGCGGTGGTGCCAGAGGACGGTCTCGTGCGCCAGGGAGCGACACGAGCAGGGGGCCGACAGCTGACCTGACGCAGACGCAGACGCAGCTACCTGAGGGGACGCAGTGGTCAGTGTGTACAGGTCCGACCCCGGCTGCCGAGTGAAGGTAGCCAGGTGGCGACCCGTCCGAGCGCACGTGCAGTGTGTCACGCGCTCGTAGGCAGGGGTGAACTGGTGGACACCCCCGTCCTGGAGCGCACTACCCGCCACCAAGTTCGTAGAGAACGAGGGGAGGTAGAGACCTGACAGTGTGCCCGACGGGACCGCAGGACAAGGGAGGACAGTGGAGGAGGTCGCAATGACCGGACCCCCAGAGGGGTCAGCGAGGGAGACTGCGACCGGCCGAGCAAGCTGCTCAAGGGCAGTGCGGTCACGAAAGAAGCAGCGGGAAGCACCTGAGTCCAGTGTGAAGGTGTGCAGTGCCTCAGTAGACGCAGTACCAGAGGGCGCAGACTCACGAGTACCTAGAGCAGCAGCCTCACCAGCACCTGGGGCAACAGACACACTAGCACCTAGAGCGGCAGCCTCACCAGCACCTGAGGCAACAGACACACGAGCACCTAGTGCGGCAGCCTCACCAGTACCTAGAGCAGCAGACTAGATACCGGGGTCAGGCGGCACACACAGGTGACATGCACTCTCAGTACTAGTAGACAATGCATACATGGCAGTGAGGATAGCATCATAGTCAAGAGCAAAGATATCTACCCTCTGCCTAAGCAGCTCCAGCCAGGAGGGGAGCTCAGCGGCGTCGCCAAACTCTGTACGCCAAGTGTCGCTCAGACGGGCGAAGCAGTGGGACTCTGTGTGACCACGCGTCCCGCAAGGCTGACCAGTCCGGGCACCCGTGCTAATAACGTACGGGCAGCGAGCAGTACTCAGCGACCCTCTACTCTGAGCGTACCACTCACGAAGCTGCTAGGGCGAAAGAGGCTCGTACAGACGACGCTGCTGCTGCACCGGGCCACGACAAGAAGCTCCCAAACTACCCACTCCAGGACGACTCCCACTACTGCCACCCCGACAACCCCAACTGGCGTACCACTCACGAAGCTGCTGGGGCGTGAGGGACACACGCGGACGGCCGTGGAGCTGCATCTGGCCACGCCAGGAGCAGCAGTAGCAGCAGTAGCGGCAGTAACAGCAGTAGCAGCAGGAGCAGTACGGGCAGGGCAGTGCTCACCAGTGGTGGGAAGGGCAGGCGCAAGACGGCGGCGACAGCGGGGCCGCTACAGCTGTAGGGCGGGGCCGGGCCGCGGCAGGGAGCTCCGCGGCAGGCGCTGCAGGGCGGGGCCGGGCCGCGACGACAGCTGCTCCAGGGGCCAGGGGCGGCTCCCGCAGTGGCGGCTGCTCAAGGTGGCCAGGGGCGGCTGCTGCAGGGGCGGCTGCTCCAGGGTCCAGGGGCGGCTGTAGGTGCGGCTGCTCCAGGGGCCAGGGGCGGCTGCTGCAGTGGCGGCTGCGCCAGGGGCCAGAGGCGGTCGTCCCAAGGGCGGGCGCTGGGTAGGGCAGGGCGCCGCGGCGAGTAGAGGCGACTGCAGTAGTGAACAGTATTAGCAGCGCGGCTCGGCTGGGGCGACGCGACGGGCTGGGGCAGCCCGCAAGGGCGACGCGACGGGCTAGGGCAGCCCGCAAGGGCGACGCGACGGGCTAAGGCAGCCCTTAGGGGCGACGCGACGGGCTAAGCAGCCCTTAGGGGCGACGCGACGGGCTAAGGCAGCCCTTAGGGGCGACGCGACGGGCTAAGGCAGCCCTTAAGGGCGACGCGACTGGCTAAGGCAGCCCTTAGGGGAGACGCGACGGGCTAAGGCAGCCCGCAGGGGCGACGCGACGGGCTAGGGCAGCCCGCAAGGGCGACGCGACGGGCTAGGGCAGCCCTTAGGGGCGACGCGACGGGCTAAGGCAGCCCTTAGGGGCGACACGACGGGCTAAGGCAGCCCGCAGGGGCGACGCGACGGGCTAGGGCAGCCCGCAAGGGCGACGCGACGGGCTAAGGCAGCCCTTAGGGGCGACGCGACGGGCGAAGGCAGCCCTTAGGGGCGACGCGACGGGCTAAGGCAGCCCGCAGGGGCGACGCGACGGGCTGGGACAGCCCGCATGGGTGACGCGACGGGCTAGAGCAGCCCGCAAGGGCGACGCGACGGGCGAAGGCAGCCCGCAGGGGCGACGCGACGAGCTAGGGCAGCCCTCAGGGGCGACGCGACAGGCTAGGGCAGCCCGCAAGGGCGACGCGACGGGCTGGGGCAGCTGCGCATGCGGCTGTGCGGGCGGCTGCGCGTGCGGCTGACGGGCGGCGCTCGCGGCTGTCCTAGGGCGCACGACGGCGCTAGTAGGGGCGCTCGACGGCGCTAGAAGGGGCGCTCGACGGCGCTAGAGGGGGCGCTCGACGGCGCAAGAAGGGGCGCTCGACGGCGCTAGGAGGGGCGCTCGACGGCGCAAGAAGGGGCGCTCGACGGCGCTAGTAGGGGCGCACGACGGCGCTAGAAGGGGCGCTCGACGGCGCGGCGGAACGGTGGGCCCAAACCAACGTCAGTCCTAGGTCCTGACCTAGGCGTCGGATACCATGTTAGAATCTAGAAGTGAACGAGAATGATCAACTCGAAGGGGAATGTGAGTACAAGTACCAAACCCTAGAGTAGTGTACCCCCTAGAAGGCTAACCCACTATAGCCTACACAAATATAACATACATAATGTTTGACAGCTCTGGTAGGTGTATTTAAGCATGTTTCAACCGAATAAGCAACAACACTCAGGTCGTTCGACTCTTTTCCCTACGCCTATAGGGATCCGAGCGCTTCTTTAGCATTTGTCGGCAGACGCGGCCGTCATCGCAGGCGCCGAACTTTTTTATGCGCACAAACCAAGCCGGAATTGCTTTGGTAAGTGTATTTAAGCACGGGCCTAGAAACTTGTACCCCTTAGAGTCTACCCCACTACAGCCTAAATAGACTATAGCATATGAGTTTGACACACCCCCATAGGCAAAGTGGGGGAGAACAAGGGGTCACAAGACCAGTCAAGCAAAGCACAGCAAGCTCAGGGTGGATCACAACGTCACCACACATTCCGAGCACAAGGTCAAGGCCACAAGGCCAGTTCACATGCAGGATTATATATAAAGGTAAACAAGCAAGTGCAGGTATAGAAAGATCACAGTACAAGCAAGGTCAAGAAGTGAAGTGAGGCCAAGTAGGCACAAGACCTAGCATCGTACAGAAGTGCTGATGATCACAAGGCTGAAGTGCCTTGGTAAAGATATCAGCAGTGTTGGCCCGAGAGGCCACGTAAGCAAGGCGCAGCTGACCACGCTGCTGCAGCTCACGAGCAAGAAAGTAGCGGAGAGCAATGTGCTTCGTTATGTGCTCTAGTCTGTGCTCCCAACACAAGGCCAGCATGGCCTTGTTGTCTACGTACAGAACTGGAGGAGAACGAGGCGGCTCTCCCAGGTCGGTCAGCAGGTAGGTGAGCCAGCGTAACTCCTGTGCAGCCATGGCCCCTGCGTAGATCTCGGCCTCATAGCTGGAGCCGAGAACAGAAGACGAGCGGGTAGACCGCCACGAAACAGAGCCGGAACCAAGGCTGAAGGTGTAACCCTGTGACGACCGCTGCGTAGCCTGGTCGTCAGCCCAAGAAGCGTCTGCGTGACCAGTGAGGACCACTGAACTCCGCCCTCCAAGCACTAGCCCCATGCCCGACGTACTGCACAAGTAGCGCAACACCCTCTTAGCTGCATCCATGTGCTCTGGTCGGTGTCTCCCAGGAGCAACATAGCGTGCCAGGATGCTAAGAGGGTATGCCAGGTCAGGTCGAGTGCAGGTCATCAGGTACATGAGGCAGCCAACAAGCTCTGGGTACGGGCCACTCGGCTCTACGGACTCATCCGAAGGCAGAGCTGAGAGCGAGTGGCGAGTAGACAGAGGAGTGGCCTAAGGCGAGGAGTACGTGAAGTTGAGGCGCTGAAGGATCTGCTGCACCATGTGTGGCTGAGTCAAGGTAATGGTGCGCCGTGCTCTGTCCCGGGTGATCTGCAAGCCAAGATAGCTGCGCAGCTCACCCAGGTCTGTGCACGTGTGTCTCTTCTGCAGCTCCGACTTCACGTGGGCGAGTCCAGCAGTGTCAGCAGTAGCAAAGACCAAGTCGTCGACGTACACGAGGATGTAGAACGGCGGCAGCGAGGTGTCGGTGCGTAGAAACAGCGACGGGTCAGCAGTAGAAGGAGCAAACCCAAGAGCTGCAAGCGTAGTCCTCAGTGTGTCGTGCCACTCGCGGGGAGCCTGGCGGAGACCATAGACTGGCCGTCGGAGGCTCCACTGGGTACCAGGAGGGAACGACCCAGTGAAGCCAGGTGGGCGGCGCAGCCAGATCTCCTCGTGCAGGCTCCCCTGTAGGAAAGCAGTGCTGAAGTCAAGAGAGTGAAGCTCGTAGTCGCGCTGAGCGGCTATGTGCAGCAGCACCCGAAGAGTGGTCATCTTCGGGGTGGGAGAGAAGGTCTGAAAGTAGTCAACTCCCTGCCGCTGACTGAAGCCTCGAGCCAAGTAACGCGCCTTGAAGACAGGCGGAGAACCCGGCGGCCGCTTCACCCTGTAAATCCACATGCCACTGACGATGTTCGCCCCAGGTGGGGGAACCTCGTCAACGTAGGTGCCTGTGGACTTCCAGGAAGCCATCTCTGCATCCATGGCTGTCTGCCACTGAGAGGAGTAGGGACCCTCTACCGCCTCCGCGTAAGAGCACGGAGTCGGGATGTCTGGTGCATCCGGGTCTCCCTCAGGGGCAAGCAGCATGGACACGAGATGAGGTAAAGCAGCAGCAAAGCACTGGAACTCCTCCTGCCTATCCTCAAGGACGTCCGTGCCAAGAGCACACTCACCCCCGACGGACGGAGGACAGACAGACTCAGACTCAGCAACAAGACTCGCAGCGTAGTCTAGACAGCAGTGAGCAGCAAAGTCGACCAGCTCAGCAACTAAGGCAGACGCAGCAGTGGACTCAAAGGAAGGGTCAGTGACAACAGTAGCCAGGAGACGCGTGACAGTAGGACTGCCCGCACGAAGGGAGTCAGACTCCAGGTCAGCAAGAGCAGGAAGAGAGGACTCTGGAGGAGACGGCAAAGGGACACGCAGTGGAGCAGTCGAAGGACGCAGAGCCATCTGATGCGTGCCTAGGACCGCAGGAGGACGCTGACGCGGAACACGACGACCAGTGCGAGCAGCACGAACAGGCGACGCAGGACGAGACTCAGGCTCACGACGCTCAGCAAGACCTCCAGTAGGACCAGTGTAGGGAGGAGGAGCAGGCAGTGGGGAGGCGAGCTGTAACTGTGACTCGGACTGACAGGCGGTGGACACTCTAAGGAAGGAGCAGGACCAGTAGAAGGCGGGAAACCAAGAACCTGCTGAAGAAGTGGAACGAAGTACGGCTGCGGCCGCGCAGCGCCTCCAGGACCAGCAGGGACAGCACCAGCACCCCCAGTGTCAGCACCAGGGCCAGCAGCTCCACCAGCCCCAGCAGCACCCCCAGCAGCGCCAACTCCAGCAGCACCCCCAGCAGCGCCAGCAGCGCCAACTCCAGCACCCGCAGAAGCATCAGCTCCAGCAGCACCTCCAGCGTCAACACCTCCAGCAGCACCTCCAGCAGCGCCTACGCCAGGAGCACCTCCAGCTCCAGCACCAGCAGCACCACCAGGCCCAGCAGCTCCAGTACCGACGGCACGAGCACCTCCGGGACCCGTGGCTCCAGAACCTCCAGCAACCGCAGAACCTCCAGCACCGGTAGCACCACCAGCTCCAGAAGCACGACTCCAGCGGCGAGCAAACCACTCACGCAGCTCCTGGGGAGAGGGCAGCTCCCGCCGGGACGAAGCACCCGAAGGACCCCCAGGCCCAGCACCACCAGGCTCCACTCGAGCAGGCCTAGCACCCCCAGGCTCCGCACCCCCAGACTCAGCACCCCTAGGCTCAGCACCCCCAGACCCAGCACCCCCAGGCTCCGCACGCTCAGGCTCAGCACCCCCAGACCCGGCACCCGCAGGCCCAGCACCCCTAGCAGCACCAGAGTCAACAGCTACCTCGACAGGCTCGACTGCGTCTACCTGAGACACACCTGAGGGGGCAGGACCCTGAGGGGGGAGGGGGTCTACCGGGGGGGGACCTGGCGCAAGGAAGAGTGGCGGGGGGGGAGGGGGGCAGTGCGGTAGGGGAAGAGACGGTAGTAGGGAACCGACTCGTCAAACGTGACGTCCTGGGAGGACAGAACACGGCGCGAGGTGGGGTGGTAAAACTGCCAACCAGGCGCGTCAGGGGGGAAGCCAAGGAAGACGCAGGGAACAGCACGGGAGGACAGCTTGTCCGCAGACAAGTCTCGGACGAAAGCCAGAGATCCCCAGACACGGAACGCAAACGCATCGCCAACCTTCCCCGTCCACCGCAGGGTGGGGGAGGACTCCGGCAAGGAGACACGGGGCTGAAGGTTGATCTGCTGCGCCGCGTACTGAACCGCGAACGGCCACAGAAAATGGGGAGCAGCCGCATGGATCATGGACGTACGCGCGACGTCCATGACCATGCCAATGCGGCGCTCAGCAATCCCATTTTGCTGCGGAGAGGCCGGAAGCGTGAACGTCTGGCGGATGCCCCTCGCATGGCAGAAGGCTCGCAGAAGGTCGGAGGAAAACTCTCCACCTCTGTCGGAGTGCAGACGCAGAACAGGAAAGTCCGAGCCGAAACTCTTCCTGAGCTGGAGACGAGCAGCGCGGATCCAGTCGATCAACACCACAGTGACCTCACCCTTGGTGCGCAAGGGGAAGACTGCGGTGTAACGCGAGTAGTCGTCAACCACCAGGAGGAAGTAACGCTCGTGACCCTGTCCACGGACGCGGGCGGGGCCCGACACGTCCATGTGAAGAGTCTGCAGCGGAGCCTCTGTCGGCGGAAACTCGGAGGAGTGAGGAGCGGCGCGCTGCCGCCCCTCAACGCAGGGAACACAGGTAGGGGCAGGCCCCGGAGGAAGGGGAGGGAGGGACCGGGGAAGACCAGAGACAAGGTAACGGGAGGCCATGCCTCGGAGACGAGGCAGGGAGGGGTGACCAAGGCGGTGGTGCCAGAGGAGGGTCTGGTGGGACAGGAGGCGACACGAGCAGGGGGCAGACTCAGGACCAGACCTGGACGCTGCAGCAAACACCTGACCCGACGCAGCTACCTGACCAGACGCAGCAACCGGAGGAGACTCGGTAGTCAGTGTGTACAGGCTCGACCCCGGCTGACGGGTAAACGTGGCCAAGTGTCGGCCCGTCCGAGCACACGTGCAGTGGGTCACCCGCTGACTCGCAGGAGTGAACTGGTCAACTCCCCCATCCTGCAGGTCAGCACCGCTCACCAAGTTTGTAGAGAACGAGGGGAGGTAAAGACCTGACAGGGAGCCAGACGGGGCCGCTGGACACGGTAGTACAGTGGAGAAGTGGGCAAGGACAGGACCCCCAGAGGGGTCTGCCAGGGAGACCGCAACCGGCCGACTGAGCGGCGTGAGGGTGGTGCGGTCTCGAAAGAAGGAGCGGGAAGCACCCGAGTCAAGGGTGAAGGTGTGCAAGACCGCAGCAGGCGCAGTACCAGAGAGAGCAGACTCACCAGCATCTGGAGCAGTAGACGCACGAGCACCTAGGGCAGCAGCCTCACCGGCACCTGGAGAAGGGGACGCGACAGCACCTAGGGCAGCAGCCTCACCAGCACCTAGAGCAGCAGACTGGAGACCGGGGTCAGACGGCACACACAGGTAACAGGCACCCTCAGCACTAGTAGGCAATGCATACATGGCAGTGAGGATAGCATCATAGTCAAGAGCATAGACATCTACCCTCTGCCTAAGCAGCTCCACCCAGTCGGGGAGCTCAGCCGCGTCGCCAAACTCTGTACGCCAGGCGTCGCTCATACGGGCGAAGCAGCGGGACTCTGTGTGACCAAACGTCCCGCAAGGCTGGCCAGTCCTAGCACCAGTGCGAAGGACGTACGGGCAGCGAGCAGAACCCCGTGACCCTCCACGCTGAGCGTACCACTCACGAAGCTGCGGGGGCGAAGGGACCTCGCGCACACGTTGCTGCAGCTGCACCTGGCCACTACAAGAAGCTCCGAAACTACTCACTCCAGGACGACTCCCACTACGGCCACCCCGACAACCCCAACGAGCGTACCACTCACGAAGCTGTTGGGGCGTGATAGACTCACGCGGACGGCGCTGGAGCTGCATCTGGCCACGCCAGGAGCAGAACTAGCAGTAGAAAGAGCAGTAGCAGTAGGAGCAGCACGAGCAGCAGTAGCAGCAGGAAGAGCAGTAACAACAGGAGCAGCAGTAACAGCAGTACGGGCAGGGCAGTGCTCACCAGTGGTAACAGGCGAGGGCTCCGCGGCAGCTCCATGGGCGGCTGCTCCAGGGGCGGCTACTCCAGGGGCCAGGGGCGGCTGCTGCAGGGGCGGCTGCTCCAGGGGCGGCTGCTCCAGGGGCCAGGGGCGGCTGCTGCAGGGGCGGCTACTCCAAGGGCCAGGGGCGGCTGCTGCAGGGGCGGCTGCTCCAGGGGCCAGGGGCGGCTGCTGCAGGGGCGGCTGCACCAGGGGCCAGGGGCGGCTGCTGCAGGGGCGGCTGCTCCAGGGGCCAGGGGCGGCTGCTGCAGGGGCGGCTGCTCCAGGGGCCAGGGGCGGCTGCTGCAGGGGCGGCTGCTCCAGGGGCCAGGAGCGGCTGCTGCAAGGGCGGCTGCTCTAGGGGCCAGGGGCGGCTGCTGCAGGGGCGGCTGCTCCAGGGGCCAGGGGCGGCTGCTGCAGGGGCGGCTGCTCCAGGGGCCAAGGGCGGCTGCTGCAGGGGCGGCTGCTCCAGGGGCCAGGGGCGGCTGCTGCAGGGGCGGCTGCTCCAGGGGCCAGGAGCGGCTGCTGCAAGGGCGGCTGCTCTCGGGGCCAGGGGCGGCTGCTGCAAGGGCGGCTGCTCTCGGGGCCAGGGGCGGCTGCTGCAGGGGCGGCTGCTCCAGGGGCCAGGGGCGGCTACTGCAGGGGCGGCTGCTCCAGGGGCCAGGGGCGGCTGCCGCAGGGGCGGCTGCTCTAGGGGCCAGGGGCGGCTGCTGCAGGGGCGGCTGCTCCAGGGGCCAGGGGCGGCTGCTCCAGGGGCCAGGGGCGGCAGCGGCTGCGGCTCCTTCTCCGGCGGCGGCAGCTGCTGCAGGTTCGGCGGCGGCAGCTGCTGCAGGTCCGGTTGCGGCAGCTGCTGCAGGTCCGGCGGGGGCAGCTGCTGCAGGTGCAGCGGTGGCAGCTGCTGCAGGTCCGGCGACGGCAGCTGCTGCAGGTTCAGCGGCAAAAGGAAGGGGGGGGGGGGGGGGGGGGCGGCACAGCCGCGGAGACCCGCACCAGCGGGTGAGCAGGCCGCGCGGGGCCGTCGCGGCAGCGGCAGTAGCGAACAGCAGCGGCGGCAGCGGAAGCAACGGCAGCTGCTGCTGGGGCGGCGACGACGGGGCGGCGAAGAGCCGCGGAGGGGCCGCGAGGGGGCCGCGACGAGCCCAGAGGGGGCCGCGAAGTGCCGCGAAGGGGCCGCGAAGGGCCACGAAGGGGCCGCGAAGGGCCGGGAGGGGGGGCCGCGAAGGGCCGCGAAGGGGCCGCGAAGGGCCGTGAGAGGGCCGCGAAGGGCCACGAAGGGGCCGCGAGGGGCCGTGAGAGGGCCGCGAAGGGCCGCGAAGGGGTCGCGAAGGGCCTTAAGAGGGGCCGCGAAGGGGCCGCTAAGGAGGGCCGCGAGGGGGCCACTAGGGGGGCCGCGAGAGGGCCGCTAAGGGGGGGGCCGCGAGGGGCCTTAAGAGGGGCCGCAAAGGGGCCGCTAAGGGGGCCGCGAGGGGGGGGGCGCTGTTGGTGCAACCCTACGGTTTGCATTCGGCTTGTTGTCCGTGTGCGTGCATGCGTGTGTGCATGGAATGGTATGAGGGCATGAAATAATATATATTTCATGCTTACAATAGTGTGTGAATGATGAGGCATGATTTTGAATGTGTGTGTCGAGTCAATAGCGAGTTATCGCTAGTCGCGTGTCACGTCGTCGTTTGCGTGTCGTGTGCGGTTTTCTATTTTGTCGTGTGTAGAACGTTCGGCGTGTCGCAGGTGTGCGCAGCAGACTTCCAAGAACTCAAGGAAGAATTTACCTTGAAGAACCAGAGCCTTGGTTTCAAGAATCAAGTGATTTCGAAGCTCTCAAAAAGGGTAAACTTTAAGATAGTGAGAATAGTTGCATTACTTTGTGTAGTGTAACATTTCTCTTGGTGTAGGCCCTTGTGGAGGGTAGTTTCGAGACCCTTCGTGGTTGGGGACAGTATGGCACTGTTCCACATCACTTTACCTCGGCTCTTGGGGTTTGTAGGAGCTGGGAGTCATTCCCAACTCGTAACTCTTCCTATCTTGTGTTCTAAGACTATAGTGGCTGCCATAGTACCGTTCGTTCAAACCGACGCTGTGTCGTCAACTCTTTATCAAATTGTGCAATCTAAATTGCTAATTGTAGACGACGTAAAGACGCTCCAGATCCAATTTGAATCAAGTCATTTGCAGCTGTGAGCAGAACGCTATCAACGTTTGAAGCCGCTGTGCAGAAATCCGTCTGTGCTCTCTATCTTTCGTTTTAGGCACATTCAAGCCTATTGTGACTATAACAAGTGGTATCAGAGCCCCTTGGAGCAGTTTCGACAATGTCTGGACCTGAGGAAAGGGGTGGCAGAGGTGCTGGTGGCAGTGGAGAAGCTCAAGCTCAAGGCCAACCCCGTGATTCAGCCATGGCGCCCATGCAACCAAGTCTTGGCCCACCTAGGGATGAGCCTAGGATGTTTGGGCTTGACAAGTTCAACGGTGACAACTTTGCTGAATGGTCCTTCAAGATGGAGAACATCTTTGACCACTATGACCTGCTGGAGGTGATGGAAGGAACGGAGAAGCGCCCCGAGAACGACCCGGAGAAGAGCCCGTGGGTGCGGAAGAGCGCACAAGGCTATCTCTTACTTGGGCAAGCGTTGGGGAGCAGTCAGATCCGTCACATCAAGCCATTCCAGCGTGAACCAGAGAAAGGACCAAAGGCATGGGCTGCTCTCAAGGGTGTACATGCTCCTGCAACAGCGGCGGTAGCGGTGGTGTTGGAACAGCAAATGGCGGCACTACGAATTGAAGAAGACGAAGCGGTTGAAGAAGGGGTGCAGAAATTCTTCGACTTGTTGACGCGGCTTGAGGGAGCTGATTTGAACTACAGTGAGCTCCAAAAGAAGACCAAGTTGCTGGCCTTACTCCCAGAGTCATGGTCCTCGCTCATCATCAACCTTAATCGCGACTTGCCCCGCCTCTCGCTTGAAGACGTGAAGCGAGCTATCCTTCAAGAGGATTTCCGCCGCCGTGAGTTGGCGAGTGCGGATGGCGCTGGGGCAGCGAGCATCGGCCGTGGATATGGTCGAGGAAGAGGCAGAGGACGAGGGGGAGGAAGGTTTGGTGGCAGCAACTTCGGCGGAGGCCGCAGGAGTGGCGGTTACGGCAGCGACGACAAGAGCTACGGACGCGGTCGCGGCCGATTCGACGGCGAGTGTCACTATTGCCACAAGAGCGGACACATGTGGCGCGACTGCTACAAACTCCCTGATGGTTGGACCCCTGCTCAAGGCCAAGAGGGTAGAGGAGCAGGAGGAGGGAGAGGACGAGGCCGTGGAGGCCGTGGCGGTCGCGGTGGCGGAGCTGCAAACATGAAGAGCGGAGACAACGACAAGGACCCGAGCGACGATCGATACCCGGGTCTATTCTACTTCGTGTCGACGCAAGTACCGGCTGGTCCAGAGAAGGATGAAGGCTTTGAGGAGCCAGCAGCTGTGGGGAAGGTGACCCTACACCCCCTGGACTCTTGGGTGATTGATAGTGGCGCTACCTATAGCATGACACCTCGCCCGGACTTGCTCACCGAACTCGAGCCGTCACCGGTGAAGCATGTCACATCGGCTTTGGGGCAGCGAGCAGAGGTGAAAGGCATGGGCAAGGCCATGTTCAAGGGTGCTGATGGGAAGATGGTGGGCCTCAAGAACGTGCTTTGGGTGCCCAGCCTTGCTGCAAACCTGATTTCCGTGCGGCGGTTGGCAAAGGCCGGCATGGACACGAACTCGAAGGGAGCCAAGACCTACACCGCAAGGCTTGGCGATCGAATTCTTTGGGACCTTCATGAGGACAGGGATGTCTACAACGAGATGTGGCAGATCCCAGTGGTCCCTATGCCTAAGGAGAGGCAAGTGGCAGCAAGCATCAGCACCAAGGATGGAGCGGTCGGTAGCGACGATGGCGCGAATGGTCGCGCTAAGGAGAATGAGCTCAAGAAGAGCAAACCTGGAGGGACCAGCAAGTTCAGTGAACCTAAGGAGAGTGGTGCAGCAACCAAGGAGCAGCAAAAGGGTGAGGAGAACCCAGAGGCAGCAGCGGAGGAGGACTACGGAGAGAGTATGTGGGGCGCTATTGCGAGCGCGGCATTCTCCAATCCAACTTCGGCTACGGGGGAGTGTGATTGGCTCACCTTGCATCGGCGCATGGGGCATGTGGCCCTGCCCATCTTGCAGCAGCTAGTGAAGAATGAGATGGTTGCTGGCATACGTGTGAAGGGGGAGCCCGATGAGGTGCTTGGCTGCCCGACGTGCATTCAAGCCAAGTTCACCCGGTTTCCGTTCCCTAGTTCGGAGGCAACGGCAAAGGCACCGCTTGATGAGATGGTGATGGACGTGGTGGGCCCCCTGAAGCTTGGAGCTGCTGGAGCTGAGTATTTTCTCACCATTGTCGACGTCTACACCCGCATGACTTGGGTGTACGTGCTGGCCAAGAAGAGCGACGTGGCTGAAACGTTGAAGACGGATTGGTTCCCGATGGTGGAGCGGCAACAAGACCGTCTAGTCAAGTCAATCC